CGCGTAGCGTCTGGGAGCCCAGGCTGGCGAAACTCAAGCGAAACGGGCCAGACCATGTCAAATCTGGTCGTCTCGGAAGGCTGATGTGTGAGGATGTCTCATGCGGAAAGGATCGAATCACCTCAGCATGTTGCCAATGTCTCGACGCGCGGGCCCATCGGCGGCATTCGCTCTTACCGCCACATTCCCCCCTGGCACCAGCCGGGCGACCCGGGAACACTCCAAGAGAAAACTTTATTGAACGGAAGGAAGCGAGAAATTCCCACAGATTCCTCAATCAGAGCTTGCTTCTGTAGGGGTCCTAGCGGATATAAAGCTGAGGTGAGGTCGGCGGCCGATTTCGGTGGCCGGGGCCGGGTGCCCGGGTGCCCGGGGGTACCCGGGTGGCCGATTTCGGTGGCCGGGCCCGGGTGCCCAGGGGCCCGGGGGCCCGGGGGTGCCCGGGTGCCCGGGGGTGCCCGGGGGTGCCCAATAGCCCAGTAGCCCTAAAGCCCTATAGCCTTATAGCCGTATAGCCCTATAGCCCTGTAGCTCTATAGCCTTACATCCCTGTAGCCCTAATAGCCTTATATCCCTATAGCCCTATAGCCCCATAGCCCATATAGCTCTATAGCCCCATAGCCCTATAGCCCTATGGCCCTATAGGTCACAGTCCTACAGCCCTATAGCCCTATAGCCCGATAGCCCTATAGCCCGATAGCCCTATAACCCTATAGCCCTATAGCCCAATATCATTATAGCCCTATAGCCCTAACAAAAATCGGATTGGGTGTTTTTCTCCAGTATCATATATATATATATATATACATATATATATGCATATACCATCATATACACATATTTATATATATATACACAAACGTATGTTGACATATTGTATACGCACATACATATTATATATATATATGTATAAGTATTAGAGCGCTGGCGCGCGCTTCGCGAGCGCTCGAGTCCTAGCTAGGCTCGACAGGCTAACGCACGGAATATCAATTGTTGAAGTGCCTTGTGCATCTGACGACCTTCATGGAATCCCTGCGCAAGCCGAAGGGGAAATGCGGAAACCACAGACACATACATTTCCTTGTGGGTGTTCGATGATTTGGGGTCCTCGAAGGCTTCCTGGGATCTTCCCTCGGTGGTGACAAGGCC